ATGTAAACCTCTTATAACTTTTGAACGGTTGAACCGATTTCATCGCGGTTGGTGCCATTCGAAAGGGCTTCACTCAACTTAGATTTCCTGAGAATTTGAACCGATTCGGACCGATAGATTTTGAGAAATTTCGAGAAATCTCCAAAAAAATAGGAAAAAAATTTTTCTCAGAAGTGGTTTTTTTGGAATAACTTTCAAACGGTTCCACCGATCGATTTCAAAAACTAATCAGCTCTCAACCTTAAAAAACCACGTCGATTGCCGCCAATCCGGTCAAAATCGGTTGATTCGTTCAAGAGATATCGTGAACGAAAAAAACCGAAAAAAGTGTTTTTACGGAATTACTCCGAAATTTCTAGTTTAACCAATTAAAACTTAAGAATTCTTTATGAGGCTTAAAAAACTGCGTAGAATGCCGCCAGCTGCGTAAAAATCAATTCATTCATTCAAAAGTTATTGCGGTTTGAAAATTCAAAAAATAGTGCTCTATGAAACTTCTATCAGACTTTTGTGCTGGGAGAGCTCAAATGCATAGAAATATTATTTCTTTGAACTCAGCGAGCTCAAAATATCACATAAATTATTTTTTGAGCTTAAAAATCTCAAAAATGTCATAAGTACAATTTTAAGCGCCCAGGAATGGAATTAGCGGGAAGTTGCACGGATGGCCTTTAGGGTGAACCGTTTTTCTAATTTTTTTATGTACTCTTGAAATATGAATAAATAAACCATAAAAAAATGGATGGTAAAAATATCAAATGTATTTTTTTATAAATCCTCAAAAAACGCTCAAAATTGTGGCTTCTAGACTAGAATACCCCCTTAAAAAGACGATAATGAATTGACTTGGAAAAAAAAATTCAAATAGTCTGTAAGTTTTCTAAATTTAATTCATAACGGTCCTATACTACTTCTGCTAATTTTTGGTTTATCTTCTCTTAAAAATATTATTTTGATGACTTCAACAATCAATATTACAAAACAGTAAAAATTTGTTGATTTACTCAGTTTTCCAATATCTGAGATATGTCCCTGTTTAAAAATATTGAAAAGAATTAAAAATGATGAAATTCGAATTCTTTTCAATAATTTCAATTCTTTTGTTTGTATATATAGATATACAGTTTGCATGGAGTGACCGCTTTTCAATTCTTTTCAATCAGTATTTTTAACCAGGGGTGTAAATTTAACCATTAAAGGACAGATCTAAAGTTAATATCATAATTTACCATTTCGTATGTTAGCATAAGGATCAATGACATCATTTTCATGGTACATAACTGAGTGTAAGGATTCATTTATAGCATGATGGGGAAAATAGTAATGAGCTCGTTCAATATACCAGGCTCCTGAATGAGGTGAAACGATTTTTCCATGAAAAACGCCATCACTGATGCTACCAAAAACGTAACTGTTAGATTCACCTGCAAACACAGAAAATTTTATCATTAGTACGAGAAGTAATACTACATCATCCTGAATTAAAAAGTTGCCCAACTTCATGTAAATAAACTTTGTAATCGAGCCAAGAAACGGTAGAAATTTAGTCTTTTCATCAAAACAAAATTAGGAAAACGGTTTACAGTTTTCCGAATCCTATAATTAAATTTGAAACACAAATCGATCGGACCGAAAATTCCAGAGTATTTAAAAAATCACTTTTCTTTGATTTTTTCGTCAAGGATAACTCATAAACAAATCAACCAATTTTGGGCAGCCTGACGGCGATCGGACTGGGTTTTTGATGTGAAGAGCTGATTAATTTTTGGAATTGATCGGTAAAGACGTTTAAAATTTATTTCAAAAAAACCACATTTTAAAAAATGTTAGAAAGACATGGACGGTGCTATTCATTCTATTAGAAACCACCGGATTTAAAAAATTACATTTTTTTATTTAGCTGAATTTTTGACATCGTTTTGTACGAGTCAAAAGACGCTTACCGCTTCCGCGCAGTCGCTGTCCTACTCGAGCCTAGGCCTCAATAAAAATTATTGTTTACAAAGCTAAAATTCTGGGAGTCGAAACTTTTTTTCAGAAATTTCCTCCTCTTTAACGATTTTCTTTCTGATTTTTGATATCGTTTATAGTTATTAAGTTATCACCAAAAAACTGAGATTCTTCATTTTATTTATATATTCTGTTAAAGCGGCATGATGGCTGAGCGGACTAAGTCATTATCCCGTTAGTTCGTTCGTGCATCTTATCGTGAGGCGAGGGTTCGATCCCCGACGGTTGTTCGAATAGTTCCAACACCAACCGTCAGAGATCGCTCCGGTAGCCGACTGTACTGGCATGAGTTTTCTCTGTGGTTTCCTCATCGTCACTATTCCAACAACCGATAGAAAGGGGTGAGGAATAGGGTGAATACAGTACAGAAAGCACAAGTCGGTCCACAGCCGCATTGGAATAAGAATATGTGGAATAAACACAAAAAGTGGAAACCTCTTCTAGCAGTTTATTATATGTTGAACGCAAACACTTAAGTGGAATTACGGTGGCAATTAACAAAGTGGAAAAAAATATAAGTTACAGTCTTGTAAAAACCAATAGGTATACAAGTAAAATTGGTTATA